CAACCACTTGCGACCGAAAACGTAACGTAATCTTCTCCATTTATCATCGAAGCCAAATCAAAAGCCATTTAAAAGCCTTCAATCGAACCATTTCCACCAAGACTCATTTTGATTGCATTTCCGATCTGGCTGAATCAGCTGAGTGATAGTGCAGCAGTGAGCTACTATGACAGTTTTATTTATGTCGAGCGCGTGTGCAACTCTGACAGTGCATAGGTTTGCTGAATAGCCTCATTAATTGTAACTCATGGTTTATGCGCTTGTCCTCACTATGAGTGATGAGGGATTCCGCTTTTGCTGTGTTAACTGCAGTCACGTGAGCAATGGTTACTGCTCGAGTTTGATAAACAAAATGATGTTTGGGTTGTTTTATTTGTTAAACTGTTAAAATTGTGATTGGTCTTATAATGGTTTAGTGGGTATAATATTCGATATTTAGGTACAAGTTTACATCGCATCTACAGGAACTAAAACTCCATTTACATTTGTGTTTGTTTCTGCAATAGTTAATTTGAAACAAGATTTGCGAAAGTTTGCAGTAAAGTGCTTTTAGTTTGACTTTGTTAAAAGTTTAAGTATTTTACAGTTTTGTGATGATCATCGACACAGTCTGTTCCTACAATAAGCAATTACGCAAATTTTGTTTTTATCTAAAACATGTAACAAAAATGTATTTATGAGATTAAAATGACTAGTTCTCTTCTAAGTTAAATTGATTATTTATTTGTTGTGTTCTAATTATTGTGATTTTTTGATGTTTGGTGGATAAATTCTGGTATAGGTCAAATGTAAAATACGATTGTATTAATTAATAACCGAATAGAAAGATAACAAATGACATAATAAATATATAAATCTCCCTTTATTCTATGGTTTAATAAAAATATCTATGAATTGGAATATCCTCTTCATTGACTTTGGACTTCCTCATAGAAGTACGAAAGGTCTGTTCCTTCATTTCGTAGGCTTTTTGACTTGCAAATTTACCATTATTACCATAACTTAACGTTACAAACATTTCCCAAAGATTATAAAATAAAATATCTGCTATTTTATTGTTTCAGTCTGATCATAGTGTAGCGCACCTAATAGAGTATAATTGAAATCAATTGCAAACTATTTTTATTTTCGTATAAAATCTGTTCGATACTCATTAAGTTACCTGTTTCCTGAAAATATAACAATGAAAGTCACCGGTAACAAATAAACCTAGTCGGGGCCAGATGTAGAGAAATGTTCAATTTTGGATGCCAATGTAACCGCTGGGTTTCCTTCCTTCCTTTAATGTTATCCGACCTGGGACCAAGGAGTCCTGAATTATTCAAACATTAATATTCTGATTCAAATCTATTGGAGGGAATTTATAATCTAGACCAACAAAGTAGCACAGTTTATGCATCTGTGGGTTCAAAAGGAAATTGGAGCTGCAGGTTAAGCTTCTACGAGATAATTGTCTTAAAACATTTATTTTTTGAACATGTCCTATAGCCAGGGTTAGGTTTATTGCAAATTAAATGATGATTGTGTCATAAAAATTGTACTATACGTAACGGTCGTGGATTAATTGCGCCAAAGAGTTCCTTAACTGTGCTAGCCCTAAAAGGTCCCAAAACATTTTCCGTTGTGCCAAGCCCAAGCCAGGTAGGGGTGAGTTGTCGGCAAAAACAATGTCCTTGTTTACGTGTCATTCTAACATAACCCAACCTATCCTAACATGAAGGCAAAATAACAAAGATTTGTAATAATGCAACAGAATCGATGTTTAAGATCAATGTTTAATATTAGTTTCGCCAACAAAAAACCTACAATATACACAACAAAGTAAAAGTCTTATAATCTCTATATCAATGATATCGTAAATTGAATCAAGTGAGCTTTGAAAGGAGGTTCGCTTCTTTAGCATTGAAAACCCAGAATTAAACAAAAAAATCAAACACAACTCTACCTAACGGTCGTGAAGATTGTTACGTGACGGTCGTGAAATCATTTGTTGTCCACAAATACAGATACAAAGAATAGACAAAATTTCATTGTAATTCAAATTACAATAAAAACACAATACATAATTTTATCATGAGGGTAAATTCAAAAAGATTGGTCCTGAATAAGACATTTTAAAAATCTTTTACAAAATGAATAGGCCTACATCCATCCTAAACCTTATTACTGAATACAATTCGTTGGATAGAATTTTTAAAGGTGATTACCCAACAGCTCGGAAACTTTATCAATTACTCATTTTGAAACAATAACTAAAAAACCTTTGGATTTAAACTGGGTTTTTGACCTAGAAAGTTTTCAATAACAAATGCATTAATACCTTGGAATTTAAAACTGTTTGCCCTCTCTTTAGGCGGAAAAGAAATATGAATTGCTGCCGAAAAGTACAAATTTCCTTAAGAAAATAATTTTGTTATAGTAGTTAGGTTAAAATGCGGATTTTCATATTTTTGTGGTTTCATTACATGGCTTAGAGTAACAGATTCCGTTTGTTTTCAAACAACAAACTTTATGATGTGTGTTTATACATTTACATTACATGGACCAGAGATTACATTGTTGTTGTCCCAAGTCAGTCAAATTGACGGTCTGTTAGTTTCAAGGCAGGTTCACGGTTTGTAAACTTGATTGTCATTGTTGTATCATGTGTATGGTCATTGTTGTATACACCATTTACTACCCGTGTGTAAACTGATTCACATGATATGTCTCTTTCATACACATTAACAAGAGTATAATGTGCTAGGGATTGCAGACTTGATACGTGCGTTAAAGTGTAATAAAGTGTTTTACTTGGATGTGTTTGTAGGTGGTTTACATTAGGTACTAATACATTTATTTTTAATGGAGAGTCGATAAAATAGGTTCGGTAATGTGTCAATGTTCTTTTCCGTTTATAATATTCTGCAACGTAGGTGATTCGTTATGTTGAATTCAAATAATTTAAATTAACATTTATGATGGTTTTATTTATTGCAACTATAATTACTACACAATTTTAAGCATAATTTATTACATAACTGTATACATACATATTTCCGTCTCACCATCCTAGGAAGCAAGGCTCTTGTACGGGATCGCTTATCACTGAAACTACATTGTAGGGATTATCATTTAGATAAAAACCATTGGTGATTGGCGGGATTTGAACCTGAGACGTCAGGGACTGAAGCCCCGCGCTATACTACTTAGCCCAGCTCGCTCCCCTATGTATAGCGAGAAAATACAAAAGCTCCAGAATATAGTTTAGTCAACGACTTCTCTATCACTATAGGGTTCTTATCTCAATTTAGCACATTTAAAATATAATTTAAGAATTTGGTTTTTGTGAAACAATGCAAAATACGTTTTTACAAAATCCTACTAAATCTATGTCAAAATAAACGCCATACTAATGCTAATTTGTCAAATTATTTCGGAACTACAGGACCCCAAAAGCAACTCACTTTTAAATAAGCAATCCATTTAAAGGTAAACAGTTATCAAAATTAATTCCCTAAAAACGATTGATGCCAAAGTCATCACCATAATCATCTGTTGATCTGCATCAACGCCGCAGTCCGAGAAAATCAACAGACAGGCAATCAAAAGCGGCGCCAATAGTGGTATAATTTTTCAGTAGGATTGAAATATGACTATTAATGTGTTTGAATAATTCAGAACTCGCCTTCAATCTGGAATAGAGAAGAAGAAAAAATAGATAAAGAGAATAACAAGCGAACGAGCGACGGGACCGGAGTGAAATCCTCTTAAAAGTATTCATTGTGACTAAGATAACGCTATTTATAAATTATAATGGAGCGTCAATCTATGGAGAGCTTTATAAACCGCTGGAGATTATGGTTAATCTCTAATCAGACGAACCATTATTAATCTTTATCTTATTAGACGATGGAGCGCTTTTAGTCTGCTCCCTTTTGTACTGAAATGGAATAATTTAAGAAGTTTTGGTTTGAATGTTAATAAATGTAAAAAATGGATGAACTACTAATTGTGGTTGGTTTTGAATTTGTTTGGTTTAGAGAAAAGTTGTGAAGTGCATGATCATTACTGGCGTACAGGGATGCTAATTTTTTACATAAAATTTTAAATATAGCATAATATAAAATATTGAAATGTTAGCCAAACTTCTTAGAGAGTCAAGGTAGACAACATTAATTAATAACAATTAATTACATTAATACTTTTTCTATTCGTATAAATTGAATAGCTTATGAACACACAATACACAGAGAAAACAAAATAACTGTGAGATTTGTATACTTAAGGCATTTATCTGCTTTACAACTCAAACGATAAATTAAGTTTTTGAAAACAAAACTTTAATTTCACACAATTAGATCGTGTTTTTGAATCAAAACTTATACAATAACCGAATCTTTTCCTAGGTACTTCGATCATAGTAATTTATATATAGTTCAGAGTTCATTTATACATAGTTGGCCATAAAGTTGTGCATATCCTAAAACTTGAGAGATGCTATTCTCACAGTCAGAATACAAGTAAATGTTGAAGACCAAAGTTAGCCCCGAGTAGCCAATAACTTCCAGCTCAACAATAGGTTCATTGTGCGCCATGGCGACTCCAATATTGTAGACTTCAACTTAACATTTTGATCTTAGGTCAGAGCAATAATACACGTTCCTTACAACATGCTTTAGGTCTTAAAATAAGATCTTTTACTCCTTTGAAAGTCTACCTCATACGAACTGTTTGGTATGGTATAGTAAAATAGTCAATGGATTTGTTGAATTTTATTTGGATACCATTGATTTTGGATACTGAAATAGACTTATCCATTTGGGCTAGTTGGAGAACATATTTCTTTTACTAAAGATAAGTACTTAAATGAGAAACCATAAAAAATTTCATTGCGACAATGCACACAAAAAGATGTTTTTATATTTGTACGAAACATTAATACGACATTATTTTCTAGTTTAGCACATTTCTAGCCTGCCTTAGTTATATATTTTTCTAATATTTGACTTGTCTTGCAGTTTTGGAACGAGTCGGACGCATCGACGTGTTTACAAATTTCCAGCTGTCAAAATGTGAGTACAAAACATAACATTTTACATTCATGCTAAGATTAGTTATTTTAGAAGTTAGTTTATTTTGTTATGTATTTATTTATTTTTTCAATAAATATTCATCTTCATTGAATGGGGTTTAAAGAGTAAGGTCGTTTATGTTGAAAACTCCGTTTAATAAACGTCACTTCTAGATAAATATTTTTAGCTTGCATGGAACAGCTGGTTTTGCAATATTCATAGATTGAATAATCAACGGAATTTGTAAAAAAATACATATATACAGTACACTCGTCATGCATATTAGTTTCGGATACTAAAATATTCACAGCTTGACAATGTATTAAAACAGCTACAGCTATTACAATTAATTTGGCAGTTAAAAATATTTAAAACCATTATTGACTATAACATTAATAAATACTGTAATATTTCCTAACTAGCAACATCTTTTACTAACCATATTTTACCTGGCCTTCAAGACATTGAACGGAATATTTATGTCCGAATAAATGGTGGCTATATTGGAATCTTATGCAAATTTTATTGAGTAAGGTACCTTATAACTTTATAAATATTTTCAATTTCTTCATTCCTGAACACAATTTTTGTTATTACGTTCGTGCAAATTTTGACAGTAATTTCGATGATTCGTATTCATCGAATAATTATGCATTTTTCATAATATATATACGTTTTTTGTTATGTGTAAGTAATCATTACTCTTTTGATTAGGTTTAAATAAATACAATTATTTATTTTATCAAATTAATCTTGTATTTTAATTAATTATTTTATTTTATGTATCAAATTAAGATAAGAAGTAGACATGACATCTCTGTAGACGAATTTGCGAATTTCAAGAGATGTTGACTGGCCTAAAATATATAAAGCATAACCGAAACAGTTTAATTTATTAGTTAAACATTTGATCTGTTGTTCTCATTTTAAGTTTTCATCAACTATGACTCCGACAAATTTGAATGAGTTCGCGAGCATGTCTTTAAATTGATCAGCCATCTGATTGATATGTCCAGTGCACTTAAATACATCATTTTACTTTTTTAATTGTTTAACCAAAGCCCATTTTAAAACCAATTGTCTAACTCATTAAACGTGTTTTTAGCGAAATAGTCAGATTATTAAGATTGTTGTTCTTAACCAAAGCGGCTGTGTCATCAACATAACGAATTTATAAGAGGTGTTTATGTCATTCACATACATTATAAAAAGGATGGGACCTAAAACTGAACCTTGAGGAACCCCATATGTAACAGGAACCCAATTTAATTTTAATTTTACATGTTACAATAGAGAAGATAGTTTTTTTTCCAGAACATCGCCCAACAACTAGTTCAACGCCTTGTTCAGGTTTATTAGTTCCTCAAAGTTTCAAGAACTCATAAAAGTTCATAGCATTTGCACTGCTTACGCTTCAGCGCACCTATGTTGACTTTTGTTTCGAACATTTCAACATCAATGGCAATATAAATGTTATATTGGGTACAGCAATGTTATTAACTATCAATGGAATTTATGGGTTAAGCCTTAAATCAGTTAACTTCAAACAATGTTTGAATGCCAAATATAATACATAATGTATTACTTATTTGGTCCTATTGCTATTGGAATTTCTCAAACCCGTATTAAAATTGTAATTAAAAGAAGGTCTACTTAAGGATCTTGCTGTTTTATTAACATTGCAGTTCTCATACAGATGTTATGACAAATAAATAAGCAGTTTAATGATAAGCAGTGTTTTGAGGTCTACGTTGTTAGTTTGTTTACGTTTCTCACGATCATCTTATCTTATTAATATTATAAACTAGCTGTACCCACGGGCTTTGCCCCGTTTAACTTCAGAAGTATTCGCATGGCTCAATCACGTCCCGGTTGAAGTTCGTTCGCTACGCTCACTCACCTTTAGGTTGGAGCTCGTTCGCTGCGCTCACTTGTTTTCAGGTTAGCTCGTTCGCTACGCTAACTCAATCACGCATTAATTACCGGACGGATTGGGCTGAAATTTGGCATGATGATAGCTCACATTCCCGATTAACATATAGGCATATTCTTATCTCAAAAATCCTTTCAGGCTCCGCACCAGTGGCTCTGGAGTTTCCCATGTTAACCTTATTAGTACTAATATTTAAATGGAATTAAAGAATTTAGTCAGCTGTTTCAACTAAAGAGGTTGGTTCTATGATTTGCAAAAGCATTAAAAATTTATAAGATTTACCAACAGGGTGCAGCACTATTTTTTCCATTTATGAAAACAGCTAACTTTAACCTTTAACCAAGCAGCAACAAAAAACTGTGATACGCAATGAGAACTGTCTGTTTACAGTTATGTTTATGTTTTTAATTTCACGAATGATTTGTGATATTTTGCGAAACTTTAATAATTTATTTTTTCTATTGTTTGGGATAAGTGGTAGAACATTATGGCGATGGTAGATGTGTAATACTACAGTATACCGTAAATTTCAAAAAGAAGCAAATTTTATCATACTGTGTACTCCCTCATTGCAAACGCAAAGTTTGAGTATAACAGTGTATTAAGCTTAATGCTACTTATATGCCCATCCCGTACGAAGGACGGGTACTCTGCTAGTACTTTTATATATTACTATAAAATTAAGTAATTAACTGTCTAAAATAGTAGTTTAATATCCGTAAATGTATCACAAATATTTTGATACTGCAGTCTGGCTTTAATGAGGGAGATATTTGGTTTTAAAAGATTATTTTTGATCTTAAGGTTTCGGCCACGCAGTGTAGCACTGCTCACTGTCTCTACGAAGTAAGCTGATCTAGCTGGCAAAGCTCAAGCTTCGGTTAACAAGGTCCCGAGTCCAAATCCAATTCACCAAAAACTCGTATCCATGGATTATGCTAAAACCTCTAGGTGTAGCCAGAAGTAATGTGTAAAACTGTATTAGAAAAGAGCCTAGCGTCCTAGAATGTAATGTGAAGGAAAGATGTATAAAAAACTATTTGATACCACCAAAGCTCTCTCAACTCCGGGCGCAAATTGATTTAGAGGTAGAGCGCGGTTCTCCAAGGTCCCGGGTTCAAATACCTCGAATCACAAATTACTGTTAGCTTTGATAATGCACTCCACGACCTCTTACGTCCAAACTAAAATAATAAGTACAGTTTCGGGGTACAGCGTCCTAGGATGCGGATGAATGGCACAAAACCTCTCTGTGCTCCAAGGCCCTGCAGCGTTTAACCGGAGGTGTTTTGGCCAGGTCGGGTGGGTCACGCCCCAGCGGCCCTGATCTATGTGGGTCGCCCGCAATTCGCCGGTACACGGCAACACGGCCCCATAATGAACATCGGTTACCTGAGGAAGGTCGTACACCTTGATTAGAAACGTGGCGGTTTAATTTGATGTGCTATTTGGGTCAGATTTGCCGACAGGTGCATTCACCGCGCACGCCCGTCTACCACGTCTCACGGCAGATCTACTTTATACTTCCTGTTCCCATGGAAACCTTGAAACCAAAGAAATTTGGATTTTTGGGGATTTAAATTTAAAAAAAATCATTAATATTAGAGTTAGGCCTAATGTACTTTCTTACATTTTCAGTGTTTTCTGTGTCGTTATGTTTATAACCATTGACAAAAAGATTTAAATATAGACTGTCAGCCATGCTGTGGTTACCATGGTTACCATAGGTTCTGGCGCATACCGCTGGGAGCGCCTTGTAGTTACGTACTGCGTAGGCCGTAACTACATGGTGCTCCGAGCGGTGTGCGCCAAAACCCGCGGTGGTAACCTCAGCACAGCTGACGGTTAGTCTATGGTATAACTTAGTTACTCAAGAAATGTCAAGAGTTTTTGTACAGTAACGTTTTACTTAGTAGATTTATCCTTAATGAAGGTTTATTTATTTTATGGTTAATTTTCCTAAAATTTAGTATACTCGTTAAAGCGTTTATCTTGTTAAGTAAGTTTAATGTACAATCGCTTGGAGTCGAACTAGCGACCTTCTTCTCCTAAGATAAAAATAGTAATTCCATTTTAAGTTAATAGTAAACTTAAGTAAACAGTAATTTGTCTTTAATAAATAATCAGACAATTTAATGGTTTGTAATTATAATATTTAAGTTGAAATATGTTAAAATTAACTTATTTCTTAGATTTTGGGGTCTTTGACCTATAAATTATCTAAACGTCTATGGATATGTAGTATGTGATTTTAAAAAAAATAACCTCGACCAATTACATTAACTTATTTGAAAATAAAACGTCTTAAAAATAATTTGACAGTCTTTTTTTCTTGTCAAATTATTATTCCACCATCCAAACCCAACCTTCATTAAAGTACGAAACACAAAAAGTGTAAAGCTTTTAAATTGGTGAAATGAGTTGCTGACAAAAAAACCAAATAACCACTATCAAATAATCTTACGTGCTTTATTACGTACTCATCTTTTCAGCTATAAACCCGGCCGCTTCCTCTTCCAGTAATAATTATTGGTTGAGTTTTACCATCATTTTTGAGGTGATCAATTCTTCCCAGTATAAACGCTCTTGTTAATTTCCTTACTCGTAAAAATAACATTAACCTACTTGTATTAATTTATGCTAAACACAATCCTTGTTTCGCCATTGCCTGAAGGTTCAAGCCTGAAAAGGCAACAAGCTCTTTGTCCAAGTTTTGTGTAAAAATAATTAACTAGATAATACCTGGTAAAATTAATTGTCTACATGACAAGTTTTAGTCTCTTACTTTAACAACAATAATGATCATGTTGTTGACAAAACAAATGAAGGAAAGTCGTTTTATTTCATCTCTACTCAATTATAAACTACAAACTGCAAGCTGCGAAGCTTTCGGCGATGTGTTTGGTTCAAATATTTATATTTTATCCAACAGTGGTTTGTCCTTGTTTGCTTGTAATTGGTTTACAGTCGCTTTTGAGGGTTGATTTTAGTTAGGAAATTAAATTTGTATGAAAGGTTTAGTTGGGTAAAATACCTACCTGATATAAAATTATATTTATTAAGATTT